ATCCTCTAAAAAATATGTTTTTAGAATACAAAATCGATTTTCAGTCTACTTCTTATAGTTAATTAATTAAACACAATAGTGAGAGTGCATACAACTTAGTTTTCAATCCCATTATACCTCCTGCCTTAAGTTTTTAGTCTAAATCTTAGGTCTCCTCTTCTGGACCGAGCAATTATTTCTTCAACGCTTCAAAATCAAAAGTACCGCTATGTCCAAAACTTTCTTTCATCAAATTATTCAATAACCAAATTGAGCTTAAGGGTGGTGACTTATTTAAATTAATTTGTTTGTTTTTTCATTTTTATACCCGTACTCAAAAAAGAGTTAAGGGGTATATTAGATTTGTGGTAAAAGTGGATGTGTGTAACGCAGAGAAGGAAAATTTTCCGACCCCATAAAGTATATATATTCTTGATCAGCATCAATAGCCGAGTCGATATAGCTATGTCTGTCTGTCCGTCTGTCTGTCTGTCTGTCTGTCTGTCTGTCTGTCTGTCTGTCTCGATGAGCGCCTAGATCTCAGAGACTATAAGAGCTAGGGCAACCAAATTTGGTTTCCAGACTCATGTGATATCCCACTGCTACAAGTGTATTTCAAAATTTCGCCCCGCCCCCTTCCGCCCCCACAAAAAACGAAAATCTGTGGCAGGCACATTTTTAAAGATACGATAAAACTAAAAACGCAGTATCGTAGAGAATGCCCATATCTACCAGATTGCCGAATCTGAATCAGATCGGATCATAATTATAGCCAGAATGAAGAAATGAATTTTCTGTTGGTTCCCTCTCCTTCTCCAGCGCTGCTTACGCTACTGATTCTCTTTCTCGCTCGCACACTCTGCCGCGTTCAGTACGCGAGCAACCCCTAGCGGAGGAGATGTAGAATATAAATGGTACATGTACAATCTACATGTTAGATGTGGAATATACATTGTAGATGTAGATGTAGATAACAGATGTAGCAAAAAAATGTAAAATGTAAAATTTTTTTTTTTTTTTAAATGCTAAAAAATCATTAGCTCAAAAATGTATATACAGACTGAGTACGGGTATAAGTAGAGGTCGCGTCCCAGAAGCGACTCACACGTTCCTTCTCGTTTAAAATTAAATTAACCCAGCACTACTATTTCATTGAACAGCAGATATCATGGGTAGTTGTCTAAAGTCATGAAAAACAAGAAGATGGAATGCAAATGTAACGGGGGTTCTTCAAGCTTCTAATGCTTACATTCCAGGCTTTCCGTAAAGGTATCACTTGTTCAATTTGAAGGACTAGAAATATCTCAAAAAGAGTTTTGAAAGCAGTGAGGTGCGGCATTACTATTTCATTGAACACAACTGTATATTAGGGTTTTATTTCAAATTAATAGCAAAAACATACAAAAACAAAAAAAAAAAATCAAAATTTGCATTACTTTAATATTCGGTATTATCTTATATAATTTAAAAAAAACCTATTTTATCTAGAAAAAAAAACGTACTTTAATATTTGGTATGATACCCATTATTTTTTATGGTATCGGCAAGACGTTTTGGCATATTTTTTATAATTTTTGTCGTATACTCATGGCCAATTTTAGCCCACTCTTCCTGAAGCCGTTCCTTTAAGGCGGATATGGACGATATTGGCGTTTTGTGCACACGTCGGTCCAACTCACTCCACAAATTCTCAATAGGATTGAGATCAGGCGATTGGGGCGGCGTTTCCAACACTTTTGGGCAGTTATAAAGTAACCAATTCCTGACTTTATGCGCCTTTTGTTTCGGGTCACTGTCCTGATAGAGCTAGAATGTGTTGCCAATACCCATTTTCTCTGCCGACTGCTTCAAATTTTTTCTCAAAATTTTGAAGTACTGGTCTTGGTTCATTATGCCATCAATGAATACAAGATTGCCAACACCTTTTGTGGAATTGCAGCCCCAAATCATCACACTTCCCCCGCCGTGTTTCACAGTTGGCTTTAGGTGTTTCTTCTGCAGCTCAGTATTTGGTTTTCGACAAACCATGGTCTTGCCGTCACTGCCGAAAACGTTGAATTTACTTTCGTCTAAGAAAATAACATCATCCCACCAGCTTTGGTCCTTTTTGGAGATACTCCTGGGCAAACTTTTTCCTTACCTTTCGGTTGCGTTTCACACAGCAAAGGCTTTTTCCGAGCGACTCTGCCGTTGTACCCTTGCTTTTTTATTGTACGCCGAATAGTTTGCGCTGAAACGGTCTTTCCGTGGTCGGCAAAGAGTTCAGCCGTCAATTCCGAAGCACTAAGTCGAGGATTTTTCTTGACTTTCTTAATAATTTCGGCCTCTTCGCGCTTAGTTAATTTTTTAGGTTGTCGGGTTTGCTTAATTGACTCTACTCTTCCCTCATTTTTATACCCGTACTCAAAAAAGAGTTAAGGGGTATATTAGATTTGTGGTAAAAGTGGATGTGTGTAACGCAGAGAAGGAAACGTTTCCGACCCCATATATATTCATGATCAGCATCAATAGCCGAGTCGATATAGCCATGTCTGTCTGTCCGTCCGTCCGTCCGTCTTGTTGAGCGCCTGGATCTCAGGGACTATAAGAGTTAGGGTAACCAAATTTGGTTTCCAGACTTATGTGATATCCCACTGCTACAAGTGTATTTCAAAATTTCGCCCCGCCCCCTTCCGCCCACACAAAGGACGAAAATCTGTGGCAGGCACAATTTTAAAGATACGATAAAACTAAAAACGCAGTATCGTAGAGAATGCCCATGTCTACCAGATTGCCGAATCTGAATCAGATCGGATAATCATAGCCAGAATGAAGAAATTCATTTTCTGTTGCTTTCCCCGCCCCCTCCGGCAAGAAAACTAACCACTGATTCTCTTTCTCGCTCGCACACTCTGCCGCGTTCAGTGCGCTAGCAACCCCTAGCGGAGGAGATGTAGAATATAAATGGTACATGTATAATATACATGTTAGATGTAGAATATACATAGTATATGTAGATGTCAATAGCAGATGTAGCAAAAAATGTAAATTTTTTTTTTTTTTTAAAATTCAAAAAAATTATAATCTCAAAAATGTATATACTGCCTGAGTACGGGTATAGTAGAGTCGCGTCCCCAGAAGCGACTCACACGTTCCTTCTCGTTGAACCTTCGGACGATGTCACCGACCGTATTTGGCTTCATTTCCAGGATTTGGGCAATTTCCTTGTATGTCTTGCCCTCTAAATGCCACTGGAGAACAAGTTTTCGCTACTCCAAGGACGAATTTTTGCTTTTGCGGCCCATTTTAAAATTTGGTGCGACAGTTCAATTCTGCGGTATGTTTTCTGTCAATGCATGTTAGTTAGCTTTTGGTTCTTCGGGGAAACCCCTTTTTGCCATTTTTTTGGCTATTTGGAGTTACCACAGGGTTTTATTATACCACTTCCAAAAAAATACGGAATATTAAAGTAATGCAAATTTTGATTTTTTATACCCGTACTCAAAAAAAGAGTTAAGGGGTATATTAGATTTGTGGTAAAAGTGGATGTGTGTAACGCAGAGAAGGAAAATTTTCCGACCCCATAAAGTATATATATTCTTGATCAGCATCAATAGCCGAGTCGATATAGCCATGTCTGTCTGTCCGTCCGTCCGTCCGTCTGTCCGTCTCGATGAGCGCCTGGATCTCAGAGACTATAAGAGTTAGGGTAACCAAATTTGGTTTCCAGACTTATGTGATATCACACTGCTACAAGTGTATTTCAGAATTTCGCCCCGCCCCCTTCCGCCCACACAAAGGACGAAAATCTGTAGCAGGCACATTTATAAAGATACGATAAAACTAATAACGCAGTATCGTAGAGAATGACCATATCTACCAGACTGCCGAATCTGAATCAGATCGGATCATAATTATAGCCAGAATGAAGAAATCAATTTTCAGTTGCTTCCCCTCCCCCTCCCGCAAACAACAACGCAACCCATTTTCCTTCTCGCTCGCACACTCTGCCGCGCTCAGTGCGCGAGCAACCCCTAGCGGAGGAGATGTAGAATATGAATGGTACATGTAGAATATACATGTTAGATGTAGAATTTACATAGTATATGTAGATGTAGATAAAAGATGTAGCAAAAAAATGTAAAATGTCAAATGTTTTTTTTTTTAATTCTAAATAATTATATGCTCAAAAATGTAAATGCTGACTGAGTACGGGTATAAGTAGAGTCGCGTCCCCAGAAGCGACTCACACGTTCCTTCTCGTTTTTTTTTGTTTTTGTATGTTTTTGCTATTAATTTGAAATAAAACCCTAATATATGTACCTCTATGAAAAGGTAATATTACAAGCTTTAATATACCATTTTTCAATTTTTGTTTTTTGTTTTTTGTTAGGTTTATACATTTTATTCGCGTTTGAAGTTGAAAAAAAAAAACCGAATATTAATGTTATCCACTGTATATGCAAAGAATTGGTATATGTATATACATAGGTAGATGTTTTAACTTAAATCAATTTATCATATACATCAGGGGTGCCCAAAATCAGCTTACATCAGGGCACTCACCAATACTCCCAGAAAAAACGCAAATACTAATAAGGGAACAGTGCAATCTCAAAGAAAACACAACAACAAATTCATAACAAAAGTCGGGTAACACCAATCAGAGAAGAGACAAAACCGGTTTTTGCTGGACGGATCGCATACGCATAAAGTTGTTTGCATGTGTTGGGCTTTCGTATGCTCCCTGCAGTTCTGGCTGTCACGGCATGAAAGTGTCATAGGATAAATTGTTCGGACTCGACGTCGACAAAGGCAGTGACGTCGACGTCAGCATGAAATTCTGACCAGCTTCAACTGCTGCAGATCGAAGCTGACTCGTAAGAGAGAAAGCAGATATCCATGATTTCATCTCCTCTCATATTTTTAGTTTTCTCTACCTGCATTCGACCCTAACTCTTCTACTCTCGCGCATTTCGTCTCCTCAAAGGGATGAGGGGAGACCGATTATTTGGTGCAATTTTTTGTTGCGAGCGGCTGTGATTTTTTTGAGTTGAGCGTCTATTTACATGTTTATTCCTTTTAAAAGTGGTTTTTCAGTGTTTTTAAAGTCAGGTAAGTGGATTCAGTGATTACTGTGCGCGTTGTTAGTTAAATTAAATTTGTACATGGGTTTCGCAAGAACAAATATGTTTAATTCTAGAACATTCAAGCGGTGTGGTCCCGTTAAACATGTGCGTCGCTGCGCGTGTTTGTTTTTGCTCGAGGAAACCCATGTCTCTGCAAATACAGCATTTTTAATTACAAAATATATATGTACAAATTGACTTATTTATTTACAGATCAAAACATTTCTGAAGTCAAAATCAAAATATTAGTCCAGGAGTAATTGTTTAAAATGCCTCAAAGGTAAAATCAAATTTCATATGTGTATTGCTTTATACAAATCTGAACATAACTCAGAAGTTAGTTCAGAAAATATTACCTTCCGTGGCTAAATATTTTTATTTTTTATATCATTTCAGGAGCATTGGTGCTTATTAACCTGATCGAGTCAGTTAAGGAAGGCCCTACAGATAATTAAAAATAATTAAATCAATGAAAAATCTAGAAAATCTGTGTAAAATAAATATATTTACTTTTATTTGAATGAAGTGTTTAAAGAAATTTTTGGGTTGCTTTCACTTATGAAATTATCCGTGAAATTCCGTTAAATTTAATGGGAAGTCTCACAGGTGATTTCATATAGGACATTTCAAAAGAGTCACGAGTGATTTCATATGGGATATTTCGAATGAGTCACGAGTGATTTCATATAGGACATTTTCGGAAGTTTCCCCAGTGAAATCACTCGTGGCATGTCCCGAGTGAAATCACTCGTGGCAGTTCACCAGTGAAATCACTCGTGGCATGTCCCGAGTGATTTCACTCCTGGCTTATACATATAAGCCACCGGTGAAATCACTAGAAAATTCAGTGACAATTTCATATGAAGTTCCACGAGTGACAAAAGCGGACATGTCCATACAAATTTCATCTGGAGTTTCACCAGTGAGTCACCAGTGGCAGAGGACATGCCGTGAGTGATTCACCGAATGAATCACGAGTGAAAAGTGACTTTTGGAACTGCAGGGCTGGTACACAGCACAAACTGTGTATGCATACAAGAATTGGTTTCCTATGCTGGGGGGCTGGGCATCGCTGTTATAGTCTATAAGTAGTGCTGCCGCACTTTGTCGGTTTTCGCCAAAACAAGAGGTTTTTTTCTTGTTGGCTGCTTTTATGCATCTGGATATTTTTTGCTTATGGTCCACTGGATTCACTTATATAATCGCATCATGGGTGAGACCCAATAAAAAACATTATAATTGATATAAATATTCCTTATTAATAATAAAAAAAAGACAGGCAATAATTGCGTATAATTTTATTTATATATATAAATAGGTGCATACATACGTTTGCAATCGTTTTGCGAGACTTTAGTCGTCGCTAGGGTTCTGTTCGCTAAATGCTCTTTTCTGATTCCGATTGCGAACATTTAGCGAGGATGGCAACAAACAAGTAACGGATAAAAACTGTAGCTACGGGTAAGATCTCGCTAAAAACGACCACGAAGCGCAAGAAACACCGGATGACGTAATAGACGAAAAGGTTATACCGAGACGTTCGGCATTTTTTCGACATGTTCGATTCATGACGAGATGCGAAAGCAGGCCGAGAATTGAAAGTGTATGTGTGTACACAGACACGACCAAAAATTGTAGAGCCCACACACAAGCACAGTATGTCTGCGGCCCTGGAATTATTCCCGTCGTCAGACTTCATATTTTGTTGGTGTATTCTGTCACCCTACACGACACGGGCTAAGGTATTTACGAACGCCAAACATTGTAGAGCCCACACACAAGCACAGTTTGTCTGAATACATGGCACACACACATTTACGTAACCTGGAAACGAAACTCAAAACAAACTCAAAACGCGCGTTTCGGAAAATGAGAATTGATACAAATTTTGTCGTGTCTGTTTACACACATACATTTGCAATGCTCAGCTTGCTTTCGCTTCCCGACATGAGTCATACATGCCGAACGGCCCAGCTCCCGACCTGAATGTCTCAGCCTCACAGAGCCGAAGCGCTGGGAGCCGGGACAAAACACTCAGCTTGCTTGGTATCACTAACCATACAGTATATAGATGTGCCAGTTCATACAACGAAAGGGGCGCAGCTGAGATTTCTGTCCCAGCTCCCAGGCGCTTCGGCTCTGTGAGGCTGAGACATTCAGGTCGGGAGCTGGGCCGTTCGGCATGTATGACTCATGTCGGGAAGCGAAAGCAAGCTGAGAATTGCAAATGTATGTGTTTAAACAGACACGACAAAATTTTGTATCAATTCTTATTTTCCGAAACCGTTTTGTGTGTGTGTGTGCCATGTATTCACACATACTGTGCTTGTGTGTGGGCTCTACAATTGTTGGCCGCTTGAATTGGTTTTTCGTTTTGTTTGGAAAAGCTTATATACAAAATTCAGAATTCCCGCAATTGAAAATATTGTCCTGCAGTCGACTATAAATAAAAGCCATATCTGACGAAAAAACGCTAAATTGGCAGCGCTGGTCGTGGAAAAGGGCAGCACTGGTCGTGGCAAAGGGCAGCACTGTCGGGCCCCAGAACCTATATAAATAGGAGCCAGCCAGCGGCAAGCCTCACTCTGAATTTGACTTCTTAGCCGTTCATATCTTTTGTATTATTTTTGCTTGCTTTGCTTTTGCAATCCCGATGTTAAAATTAGACAGCGAGCCAGCCGATTCTGATAGATTGCCTTGTCTATTCTGTAGTTGGCCTTGTACATCAGCAAGGTCCGTTTTAGAGCGTCAAGCTTGCTGTCGGGGAAATTGCTTCAGCCGACCCCCCGACCGCAGGAGCGAACCAATGCGCTTCCTGCGTTTTACGGTCGCTTGTTTTTAATTGGATTTGCTAAAGCTATCGCTAACCTTTCGCATACTGAAAATATCGTTTTGAGGAAATATTCAACCTGGGCATTGAGAAACAGACGATTATTCTTGGGGGAGGATGAATCCAGATTTTCGGAGGAGTCCACTCGCGTTTTGATGTGATCAATGATGAATTCTGTATGCACATTTTGAACAGGTATCGTTCTCTATTTCGCTTGCATTAGGGCACGGGCAATTCCGTCGGCCTGCCCTCTTTTAGTCTTTAATTTGTCCCCATCATTATTGCACTCAACTTCTACCGTCTTGATCTTGCAATCACTTTCATATTGTCATGGAATCGAGCTGTTCAATCCGACACCGTCTTGAACCGACCCTTCCTTCTTCAGCTTTTATTTTTCTTTTTTCCGCGGGAGCAGCTTCTGCCACATTACCACCGCAAGCGTGTTTATTCATGTCGCTTCTTGCCTTGCTTTGTTCGTTTTGGCAGATTCTAGCCTATCAGCAGCTGCGGAAAAGATCAACCTCAATTTGGCTTGATCACTCTGTACTTGAGGCTGGCCCATCAGGAATCCCAACTGTCGATGGGTGCAGTTCGTTGTGCAGGATGGAATTGACAACGCCAGCTTTGTTTGAGACTAATCGCGCTCCACCTTCAGTACCGAAGGAAATCTGAGATTTGGGTTTTGTTTTCGCTTTGTGCCGCGTAATTTTTGCAAGCTCATACCAATACAATACCAATAGAGGCTTGTGTTTAGTGTGTTTTACTCGAACAGGCTTTGGCGTCGAGTTTCAGATTGTTTTGCTGGTATCAATTATTTTCCAAATAGTTCCGTAGCTCGGGGGCTAAGTTGAAGCTGCTATTTTGGGCCTTATTTCGTAGATAAATGCATAATATTTAACTTGCTGTTTGAAGAATTAGTAAAGCCCTAAGTCGATGCACAGCCGCTTGGTAGTCAAAAAAGAATAATACACGTGTATTGAAATGATATTTATTGCACTTTTTGTGGCGTCTCCTCCGTGTCTGTGTCCGTCTACACTTATAGTCTTTATTGGATAGACTCCCGCTTCACCCGCGCTTATTGCTTATACTAAATACCATTGGGCATCCCGGTAATACATTATTAATATTATTAATATATTAATGTATTAAGTTCTAGTTCTAGAAGATCTGTGGCTTCGATTCTTTTTGTGTTTTTTTTTTTGCTTTGGCGATCATATCCATGTGTTTTCTTTTATTCGACTCTTCTTCCTCTACTGCACCATCAAGTGGCAAATGCGTCTGCAAGCCGAAGTCTGTTCCCACGCGGGTTTGCTTCTTGAGGTTATTCAGCATCATGATGCAATTATATATATTATATTATATATTATATGGTCTCGTCGGCTGCCGAATCGTTCGGGTTTCAAGACCTTAACGTTCAGTGCGCGCTCGCTTGTTGTAGTAATAGGTTGGGTACGGACAAATTTTTTGCGGAAACCTTAACCCTTATGCACAACAAAAATGGCGTATTGTAGTATTTGCCGCAAGCACGTGCAAAGAACAGCTTAGCATAACAAAAAATGTTAAGCAAGAATTGTTAATGGCTTCCGAAACAGTTAAAAATAATTTAGATTTTAGAACTTTTTATGTCAAGATTAGAATTTATTTAAGAATTAAGAGCCTTAACAAAAGAATATCTGTCCAAAAACAAAAACAACGTTTAATTTCCAATTCAAAATTATTAAATATAAATTATAAAAAAACATCAACTCTTCGTATTATAACAGGCAACTTTAAACCCCATGGTCCATCTGAGGGTTAATCAACACGCTCTATTGTTGTTTCACTCAAACTTACTGTGCTGAGCCCTTTCACTCGCACTTATTGTAAGTATTGTTAAGGGCCTGCTGCTGCCGACGAGACCACCTTATATAATTGCAAGACTTCGTGTAGTTTCGTTATTCTACGCTATTCTTTCTAAATTTATTGAAAGGTAACTATGTTACTTTATTGACATATAATTTCATTAACTTTCATCCTAAAACCTATGAAAATAAGCAAAAGTTCACGTTTTTGGTATTTTCTGGTATTTATATAGACATGTTTTCTTTTACTATTATCTCCTAGGAAGAAGATGATTCTTGATAAAAGTTTCTCCTTAAAGTCTTTCTAACATATTAAACTACCTAAAACCATTATCAGAGTGTTTGTCTAACCCCGCGGATTTTTAACAAAAAAGAGGAAAATTTTTTACATTTAATAAGTTTGAAAATTAACTCTCAATACTTCATTTATTAGCACAAAAAATGTTAAACAGATAGCCCTATCCAATTCGCAGAGTTTTGCCATTTTTTTACCCAAACCTCGAAAACCACTTCTGTTTTATGTAACGCAATTTTAGGTCATACTTTGGCTTATATCTTTAAAACCGTACGTTCGATTATTTCCATTTTTGTGGTGAATATAGGTCTAACTAAAGTATATTCAACGAGGATAATCTTTCTTCCAAATTTCAGATTTTTGACTATTTTTTTCAACATTTTGTCGTACGAATGTAACGTAACGCCAGATAGCAACTGCCCATATGTTTATGGCCAGGTTTATGATCCAAAACATGTCCTCTAATTC